CATCAATACCAACCTGCTTTTGACACTTGAGTGCCTACAATGAGCAGCAAGCACCACCAAGGAAAGTATCCCTCGTCTCCCCCTGCCGTGTTTCGGAAGGAGACGACAGCAAACAATACCGGCGCCCTGGCACGTGGGCGTGGAGACTGCGCAATCGCTTCGCTGCCCCCTGGGACGAACGCTGACGCAGTGACGACACCCCACTACCCCCGGCTGCAGCACCGGTCGCTGACCTCCTCCACGATGTAGTAGATGACGAAAATGGCGAAGATCCACTCGCAGGCCATGACGAAGTAGTCGAATGGCGTCACGTAGCGCAGCAGCTTGACCGTGCGGAAGGAGTAGGACGGGATCATGCCGCCTGTAGCCGGAAACTCGAACACCAGCCTGGAGACGCGCGGTGGGTCAGGTCAGGTCAGGTCAGGCGCCCCTGGCGCCCGGACGGTGCTGCTGGACGTGCGGGAGGTCCGGTGCGCTGCTACCCGTGGAAGACAGCAGAAGAACATTCCGCTCAGATTCCAGATAACCTTTGCGTGATCAGTGATGTACATTATTGTACTAGTGGGCGCCTCGCAGGAAAAGGCGATGCTTGTTTATAGGCACTGTGCTATACCTGTTAAGTACATCGCTTAAAACACGGCACGACTGCTCCACATCAGCAGCATCCAGCACACTTCTGACTCTCCACTGCCATCTCTTCCCTAAGCGTGGATAAAAGCCGAAGGCGGTGCAGCTCGACCCGGCTGACCTGACGACGCAGAAGAGGTTGATGTTGGCGTTGTAGACGGTGAAGTCGATGAAGATGGCGCGCGTGCCGCGGCCGATCCAGAGATTGCGCCGCAGGCTCGCGATAATTTCCACCGTCTTGGCGCGGCTGGTGGATAGGTCCTGCCGAGCGACAACGAAGGGTGACGTGTGGTACCGCGGAGAGACTGTTGCTGTGTCGTACCCCGGAGGGACCATTACCGCGTCGTACCGCGGAGGGACTACTGAAGTGTCGTACCGCGGAGGGACTATCGCCGTGTCGTGCCACAGAGGGACTACTGGCGTGTCGCAGTGAGGAGGTACCATTGGTCTGTGGTAACGAGAAGGGACTATTGCCGTGTCGTACCGCGAAAGGATCATTGCTGTGCCTTGTCGTGCAGGGATTATTTGACCATCACACCGGGGTTGGCCTGAAGGCGTGTCGCACCATGAGGCCCCATTCGAGGCTGGTGGCACGAAGCCTGGGGTCAAATGGCTTATCACACGAGACGATTGTGTCGAGTGTTTCCTCATGGAGGGGGAATGGAAGGCATCGCATATTGAATCGTGCGGCAAAACAGCGCCGAGTAGTTCGTCACGCAGCGCGAGCAGCACCGAGTGGATCGTCACGCAGCGCGAGCAGCACCGAGTGGATTGTCACACAGCGCGAGCAGCACCGAGTGGATCGTCACGCAGTGCGAGCAGCACCGAGTGGATTGCCACGCAGTGCGAGCAGCACCGAGTAGTTCGTCACGCAGCGCGAGCAGCACCGAGTGGATCGTCACTCAGTGCGAATTGCATGGAATGGTACGTTCCTCACTCTGCGGATTGGCATCGAAATGCACCTCACGCAGCGGACCGTGCTAAACGGCTTCCAAGGGAGGTCGCCTGCCCTTTATACGACCGTCTGGAGGATTGCACCGCGGTTGTCGGCTTACCACGTAGGCGCCGGCCCCCGAGTACGTGCTGATGACTCCCCACACCGACTGGGAGCCGAGCTCCTTCTCCGTGTAGTAGTTCCATCTGTGGACGGAAAAACGAACTAGCCTGGTCACCTGAGCACGCAGTGGGCGAGGCGGGCCGCGTACGGAAACTGTCCGAGGAGGAGTTCAAGTTGAGGCGTTACGGCTGTGATCTCACGTTGTCTGGGATAAATGAATCCGGACCCAGACCTGAGGCATGACGACTTATTTCTGGGGAAAGACCAAGGTCTGAAAGATGAAGGTGCACGCTGTCGGATAAGATCTTAGGCACAACGTTAAGCCAGTAGGGCGCGTTTTTAAAACCACGTAATTAGGGACTATTATGCTGGAAAGAGATCCCGCTCGAGGAGCCCATGCCATTTGCCGCTGCCAGTTGCCTATCCCGCGGATTTTCCGGCCAAAAGGTGAGAGGAAGCAAACGACATCTCACGGTGCTGGTATGAATGCCGCCTCGTACACTGGGCAAAACTTGGTGGCTCGCGTAGGCTGTCCAATTTCGAAAAGGCAATGCCTTTGTTCATCCAGCCATGAACTGTATATCATTGCTCGTGACAAATCATAAGGCAAAATCCGTGCATGAGCTTAATCTTTAAAAACCGTTTTTTTCGACAGAGTAACACATCTGGACTGGGCGGCATAATCAAATACACCTTGTGACAGGATTCGTCCAACAGCATTCGACAAGAGAAAAGAAACGAAAGACAAAGTGATCGTCATTCGCTGATCACACATATTTGATATACGTGCGGGTGTGCATGCGTTGGTGTGTGCTGTGAGTTTCCCACATGCATCTGCAAACGCTGTGGCCGTGTGAGCTTGTCCACCTGCGCCATCGACGGTCTCCTACGCAGCTTGCTTCACGCATATCCAGACCAAGCGAATGAGGGCTTAGGCTGCTAGGTGTTACGCTCAAACGGTGGTACACTACGCTCGGTGCTCCGCTACGCGTGGTGCTACGCTGCTACGCTCAAACCTTTCTACTTTGGTGCGTGCAATTCCTAGTCTGCGGTTTAGATATTAGCAAAGGCAACAATCACAGTCCAGCTCCTATGTGTTGCACACTTAACTCGGACCATGGTGACTTGAGATAACCACATAATCCTATTTGATGTGTGCAGAACATGAAGGCAGTACGTGCAGCTGTTAATCTGGCTCCGTGTCGAGTGCGTGTCGTGCGGTTCAGGAGGCTCGGGCCCGAGCGTCTCCTGGGCCTGACAGTCGCACCCAGGCCCCGGGCCTGGGTCTGGGTCTGGGTCACACCCAGCTCCTGGACCTGACAACCACACCCAGCTCCTGGGTCTGACAGCCACGCCCAACTCCTGGGTCGGGCAGCCACACCCAACTCCTGGGTCTGTAGTCACACCCAACTCCTGGGTCTGTAGTCACACCCAACTCCTGGGTTTGACAACCACACCCAACTCCTGGGTTTGACAGCCACACCCAGCTCCTGGGTTTGACAGCCACGCCCAACTCCTGGGTTTGACAGCCACACCCAGGTCCTGGGTCTGACAGCCACACCCAACTCCTGGGTCTGACAGCCTCACCCAACTCCTGGGTCTGACAGCCCCACTCAGCTCCTGGGTCTGACAGCCACGCCCAACTCCTGGGTTTGACAGCCACACCCAACTCCTGGGTCGGGCAGCCACACCCAACTCCTGGGTCTGACAGCCGCATCACGCCGTGCAGCGCTCACGCTGCACCTCTGCGGACGCTCACGCCGCGTCAATCAAAGGCCTCGCACCACTCTCACGCCATGCAGCCCGTTCGCTGTGCTCGCCACTCTCACGCCATGCAGCCCCTTCGCTGTGCTCGCCGCGGTCGCGCCATGCTGTCCCTGGGTCCGATGGTAACATCACACCACGCTGAGCGCCCACTCAACAGCCGCGGCTACTCACGCTGTGCCGTTCTTGGGCCCGAAGGCGTTCTTGTCCTCGATGTTCTCCGAATAGACGCTGTAGCACTTGTCGATAGCGCCGGCGAAGTTTTCATGCACGTTACACGAGTCGTCGGTGACTCGTAGCTGGCGACCCCGGGTTACGGAGCGTCAGAGAGGTCAGGGCCGGGGTAGGAAAGGTCAAGGGTCGCGAGATTAATCGAGGACGGCCAAAGCAGAGATCGTTTGAGCATGATCGAGCACTACAGTACCCAAATTAAGCGTGAAAAGCGGACAGCGGAATCACGAGTTTGCTGTACCGGACACTCCAGGATCTAGCCACGTTTGAACACAACGGCGCTCGGCAGACGTTCGTGTAGGTCCTGAACCACAGCCACAAGGGTGACGCTTTTATTTTCGTGATGAAACCGACCCGCGGAATCGTTAAAAGACTTTCAGCTGCTGCCAACCGTTCTTTTTTGCAAGCGCTCGTCAATCAGCCCGGCCATGAAAGCAGGGGTTGTCAAATTTGATGTCTACACAATCAATTTGCTTCAGCGTAGGTATTCCAAAGAATGTTCGCTGTGTTACCGCTTTGGTATGTTGAACATTGGTTGGATTCGATCCTGAATCGAATGCAGGAATATATGTTCATGGTTGGCTAAAGTTACGATCTATGCGCCCGCAAATATCCGTCAAATTGGATAACACATCATGCATCATGACTTAACTCTTCAATGTTCTTAAAAACACGGGGAGGCATGGACGAAAACACCGTGTACTCAGCACGTCACGCGCATAGAAGCGCTCTACAGGGCCGCGTGATCTCCACACGCTTAGAATTGCTGGACAAGGCCACAAGGTCTGCACACGCCTTAGAAGTGCTGGACAAGGCCGCGAGGTCTCCACACGCTTAGAAGTCCTGGACAAGGCCGCGAGGTCTCCACGCGCGTAGAAGTGGTGGACAACGCTGCAAGGTTGCGACAACAAGGTACCTTGCCTCGACACGTATGCGACTGGAATGCACACTTCGGGAAACCTCCGCAATGAATGACATTCATGATGCATGTCTCCCCAAGCACGTGTGTCAAAGTCGATTCTGAGTTTTAAGCGGAACGTCTATGATCTGTCACAAACAGCAACCCAGCTCGTGCAGTAATCGGAAAGAAGCTTCGAGGCTACGTTTGTGCGCGTGTAAGATTACGCGTTGTTTGCATGGACGGACAACACAAGTGTCCCTGCCTTGTTTCAATTTGCGCCTATTCGTCATGGCCATAACGTGTGGAAAAACTTGGCCGGCGGATTTCTGCAAAAAGAACACCAAAACACTAGTGATCGACGATCAAACTAGACTTACCCCCACGCTACGCCCGACTGTCGCTCCAGGTGAACTGCTACCCGTGAGCTGTGTTGTATCATTAAGGCAGGTACAATTTCCCCTCTTGGCATTTAGATACGTAATTGGATGCGAGGTACCCCAAGGGTATGCGTGATGGTAAAACAACGGTGATTATATGTTGTGCTTAGGCCGATAACGCTATCACGCCAGGCTCATTTTGTATCGGATATCACCCAACAAATTCTGCAATCCACATTCTCAGAGCGGATGAGGACACAACCATGGCGAAAGTCGCTGCTGCTGTACGATTTCCAACGCCCCGATTACCTTTGGGTCGATTGCTGTCCAACATTGTTTGCCCTGTCCTCACCCTGCGCACGAGGCCGTACCCAAAACCAATCAAAAGCGGGAGACCGTACCCAGAACTAACAAAACCGGGGAGACCGTACCCAGAACTAACAAACCGGGGAGACCGTACCCAGAACTAACCAAAACCAGGGAGAAAGTAACCAAAACCAACCAAAACCGGGGAGACCTTACCCAGAACTAACCAAAAGCAGGGGGACCGTACCCAGAACTAACCAAAACCAGGGAGACCGCACCCAGAACTAACCAAAACCGGGGAGACCGTACCCAGGACTAACGAAAATCGGGGAGACCGTACCCAGAACTAACGAAAGCCGGGGAGACCGTACCCAGGACTAACCAAAACCGGGGAGACCGTACCCAGAACTAACCAAAACCAGGGAGAAAGTATCGAAAACGAACGAAACTCCAGGCTCGCCCTGCGGTACCCTGAAGAAAAGCGGCGTCGGCCCGGGTCCGTATTGACTCGCCGTCCTAGCAATGGCCTTGCTACGCCACAGCCCCCCGTCCGCTGCACCTGGCTCGGGGGTCCCCCCCCCCTCCCCCCTGCGCCGCGGTCCAGGAGGCGGCGGTGACGTCATGGCTATTGAGCGGTCGAGGGTATCTCCCGGACTACGGCGGTGGCGGCGGCCGGTCGGCACGGCCGGCGGAACGCCTCGGGGGCCGGCGGCCACCTGCCTGCCCGGCCCGGCCGCGGCCGCCCGCGGGCACAGATTGGGCCCGCGCTCAATACGGTGGCCGTGGTAGCACGTCAACAAGCGCCGCGTGACCCCGGCCCCGGGCCGCCGGCGCTGATGCTTGCCGACGCTGCGCCGCCGTGACCCAGCCGCGGGTGCACGGCTCTGAACAGGACTGCGCGGAGGGGGGGGGGGGGGGTTGCAGGTTCGGGCGGCGGGTACGGGCGATGGGACGCGCCAGTTGCGATGCCTTGCGGTCCCGAGTCTGACCCCATTCTCGAGTCTGGTCCCGATTCTGACTCCAGTCTGACTCTAGTCCCGAGTCTGACTCCAGTCTCGAGTCTGGTCCTGAGTCTGACTCCAGTCTTGAGTCCGGTCCCGAGTCTGACTCCAGTCTCGAGTCTAGTCCCGAGTCTGTCTGATCAGCCCGCAGGTGATCTCCAGCTGTATCTTTTTTAATTTTTAAAATTAAAATAATTTGTCTAGTTAAGGCCATGTTTTCACAATGGCTGGCATCCCACCGTGTCTGAAGCGTGGAAACAGTCACAAAAGTTCTTGGACGCCCCGGCTTCGAACACAAAACCTTTTCGTTACGAAAGCAGCGTGCCACCGACATAGCTACACAAACCGTTGGGTTCACCGCAAAAGTCGGAAATGCACGGCGTACCGTAGACAAAAACTTTGATCCAGTACGTTGTGAGAATTTGGGTTCTCTAGGACAAAATGGCCACGGGTCGGCTCTCAAGACAAATTAGCTTTTTTTTTGTTGTTGCAAGGTTTGTCAAAATTGGTCGAGTATAATTCGATCCACAGCTCTGTGAAGAGCAGGCCCTTAACACGTGAACGCTATGGGCTAAAGGAAAGGTGCACCATGGAGTGGTTGTGCTGCCAACGTGCTTCGGTGAGGGCCTGCGCGCCCACCACTGTGTGGATCCGAAGTGCCACGAGCTGGAGAGCCATAAGAGCGACGTCACGAGCGCCCAAATGTCGTCACCAACTGCATTTAGCTCTAGGCATCAATATGCAACGAAGGCAGGTGCTCCTGATGTCAGCACCAAAAGCGTCGACCACTATAGCTTCGTAGTAGCGCACTCGTAAGCTTGCTTCGTGCGTCACGAAAGTGAATCAAGGTGTTCGGTCTCAGCAGGGTCGTCAGAAAGGCCCGGAGAAATGAGTGGAGTTGAAAAGGCCCTTGAGGGCAATACTCCATTCATCACCGTGTGTGTTATGTTCAGCTTCCATAGCAAGTCTGTGTGTGGGGTGGGGGGGGGGGGGTGGACATGCAATGTACTGCTCACTTTGTTTCTTCCCAGAATTTTTTCGACAAATGACGATGGATTTTTGAAGGGCTAAACTCAGAGAGCGTCTTCCATCTGTTTCCAGCAACAAATAATGCTGGTGACATTGAAGCTGCTTCAATTTTTCTGGTGTCCGGTCCGTTTTTAAGATGTCTGTGAAATTGTATCCCTTTAAAGGAAAAACAAAGAGAAAACTTTCTGAGAACCATCCTAAAAATCTGTGTTCTGGAACGGTTCCTCGTCGAGCGAGTCCATCTAGGATCGCCATGCTACAGACAATCGTCATGTGATGCAAAGCTGGAACACCAGCGTGCCTTTCGTAGCAAACCCTTGCTCTTTGATTACAAAACCAAAATACTCGATTCCTGGTCACTGTGAAAACTGTGCAACCACTCTGACTTAATCATGATGGCCAGTGTTGTTTCTGTCGTATTCTCCACTCATGCCCGCCTGTCAGCCCACGGCAGAACGGGAGGGTCCTCACGCGCCTGCCGCGCACGCCACGAGCCTGCGGACGTACCTGTCGCATCCGCGGCACCCCGGGCCACGAACCTGCGGACGTACCTGTCGCATCCGCGGCACCCCGAGCCACGAGTCTGCGGACGTACCTGTCGCATCCGCGGCACCCCGAGCATGCGGTTCTCGTAGAGGATGTTGTTGTCGCGCTCGTCGACGCTGGTGCGGGCCCGGTCGTACCACGAGTCCCAGTACAGGCCGTCCGTCAGCGGACCCTCCACAAACTGCCGGCCAGGGTACGACAGTCAAACCGTACCAGGGGCTCGACAGCCAAACCGTACCAGAGGTACGACAGTCAAACCGTACCAGGGGCTCGACAGCCAAACCGTACCGGAGGTACGACAGTCAAACCGTACCAGGGGCTCGACAGCCAAACCGTACCAGAGGTACGACAGTCAAACCGTACCAGGGGCTCGACAGCCAAACCGTACCAGAGGTACGACAGTCAAACCGTACCAGGGGCTCGACAGCCAAACCGTACCAGAGGTACGACAGTCAAACCGTACCAGGGGCTCGACAGCCAAACCGTACCAGAGGTACGACAGTCAAACCGTACCAGGGGCTCGACAGCCAAACCGTACCAGAGGTACGACAGTCAAACCGTACCAAGGGCTCGACAGCCAAACCGTACCGGAGGTACGACAGTCAAACCGTACCAGGGGCTCGACAGCCAAACCGTACCAGAGGTACGACAGTCAAACCGTACCAGGGGCTCGACAGCCAAACCGTACCGGAGGTACGACAGTCAAACCGTACCAGGGGCTCGACAACCAAACCGTACCGGAGGTACGACAGTCAAACCGTACCAGGGGCTCGACAGCCAAACAGTACCGGAGGTACGACAGTCAAACCGTACCAGGGGCTCGACAGCCAAACCGTACCAGAGGTACGACAGTCAAACCGTACCAGGGGCTCGACAGCCAAACCGTACCAGAGATACGACAGGCAAATCGTACCCGGGATACGAAAGGCAAACCGCGCCCGGGGTACAGCTCCCAAATCATGACCGGATTAGAAGATCATGAATTCAAACCCTTCGGAGCGTTTTAGAACGAGCTGTTCGTCACTGAGTCACCTATAATTTGTTTGAAGCTGGGAATGCAGCTGTCAAACAGCTGCGAGCCGCGGGGACCAGGAGGAGGACGCCGAGAGCCCAACACAAACGCGTAACTCTTAACGTACACTTTGCGTGGGAAAGTGGTTTCAAATGAACGCACCATATTCTTAAACCGCAAAAATGTATATCGAGATCTACGCGGTCGGGAATTCCAGATTTGAAATGCATTTCATCCTAGCCAGCACCAATTTGTCCGGAAACAGTTTTTTTCTGACGACGCGCGGAGTCCGTCTCCCATCCGCGCTGGGAGGACGGCGGCGAGGACTCACCCTCCAGAAGTCCAACACTTGCGTAGAACCCTTGAAGTTGTTTCTCGTGTCCGGGTACGGCGCCTCCAGGAACAGTTCGGAGAGGACCTTGGTGTAGTAGTACATGGTGGGAGACGTCATCCCAAACGTCACTGGCGGGCGGTAACGAACGTCAGTGGCGGGAATAACGAGCGTCAGTGGCGGGAGTAACCAGCGTCAGTGGCGGGAGTAACGAGCGTCAGTGGCGGGAGTAACGAGCGTCAGTGGCGGGAGTAACGAGCGTCACTGGCGGGCAGTAATGAGCGTCAGTGGCGGGAGTAACGAGCGTCAGTGGCGGGAGTAACGAGCGTCAGTGGCGGGAGTAACCAGCGTCAGTGGCGGGAGTAACCGGCGTCAGTGGCGGGAGTAACGAGCGTCAGCGGCGGGATTCCACGTGAGCGGTGCTCTAGGAAGCACAAATTATCACACAAAATAGCAGGTGTATTTAGTTTAGGCGCTCACAGAAACATCGCAGCATTTCGCTTTCTTCATATTCTCAATGCTCACAACGCTATGGCGTGAGACGGCTTACAAAAACGCGACACTTTCAGCAAAAAATACTCCAGATACACACCTGGGTAGTCCCAGGTGTGCATTATTACGGGCATCAATATTCACAGATGCGCTGCACTAGGATCACCAGATACTCACAGATACACAGCACTATCAGGAACACGATGTAGACCACCAGCTCTCGCAGCGTCGTCCGTACCACTATCTCCCTGTCATTGGTGTGTGTCATTTGGCGTGTGGTCCACATTCCTGAAAACGGGATGACGTCACTGTTCTGGCGAGATGACGCCACCGTTCTGGTGGGAAGACGTCACTGTTCTGGCGGGATGACGTCAGTGTTCTGGCGGGATGACGCCAGTAGTCATACTCCGGACTTACGACCGTAGATCCATTGGTCGATACCCGCCAGCGCCACGCTGAGGAGGTGTAAATAACGCACGACAGCACGCGCGTATCCTCCGCAGTGACGTCATCATACGCAAAGCTGAGTAGTCGGGCTGAAGCACCACGGTCCTGTTTGCATTCGGTTTGACCAGGGCTGTTTGCGTACGGAAAACATCATCTTTGAAAGTGTTGCGCAGCTGCCTCATATGACAAAAAAAACGTATGTGATCACAATCGGTCACTTTCTCAGCCCATCCCAGCATCCGTGCCTTTCTGCCGCAGTCAACCTCCCCTCAGCGTTTCTTTTATCATCTTATCGTGACTAACCCTCCCTTCCCTGTCCCATCCCTCCCACGGCCGCGTCTGGTCCTTCTCCACCCTGAGCCCACTCCCAATCCCTCGTCCTCCTCGGCGGCGCTCACCCCCAATGCAGTTGGTGAAGGATCCCCAGCAGCCCTTGGGCTCTTCTTGCCTGACATCGGGGTCATCTCCGTACGCCTCCAGGGCGCTCGGGTCATCCTTCATCCAGAGCTGCTGCTCGGGCACGACAGAGACAGGTCAGCCATCGCCCGAGAACACGCGTACACGAGGCTCATCTGAGAATGTTAAGGGGCGTCAATTGCAACCCAGAGCTGCTGCTCGGGCGCGACAGAGACAGGTCAGCTACCGCCCGAGAACACGCGTACACGAGGCTCATCTGAGAGTTTTAAGGGGCGTCAACTGCAACACAGAGCTGCTGCTTTCGGCGAGACAGAGACAGGTCAGCTACCGGCCAAGAACACGCGTACACGAGGCTCATCTGAGAGTTTTAAGGGGCGTCAACTGCAACCCAGAGCTGTTGCTTCGGCGAGACAGAGACAATCAGATACCGTCTAAAAACCATGCATACACGAGGCTTATCTGAGATCTTTAAGGGGGCGTGAACTTCATCGGCTATTTGTCATTTATTATCACGGTATCTATTTATTATTATCATTGACAAAAAAGGCTCATCTCGAGTATCAACCGTGCAACAGCCGAATACCATACATTTACGAGGCCTACGACGGATACTCTCTGTCCAAATACCAGCTGAATATTAAGCACTTACGAGATGTGCCCCAGGCACAGAACAGGAACAGATCGTGTGGCCCCTGAATACGGTGAGTTCGCGAGGCTTACAACGGACACGTGCTACGCAGATCATATCGCATGATTCATAACATAGTTATATTTTTATTCAACTTGCAGGGTTTGCATAATTAATACCACTTTTCACAATTACAATTCAGATACCAGCCACCTTCCATTCACTCAAAAGTCTTGCCGTATACACCTCACTATGAACAGCAATGTACCAGGCTTCAAGGGACATGAGGGAGTTACTTGAACAGCAATAAATTAAAATAAGGTTCAGTGCTTCCCAACACATTTGTTGTTTGCTTGCTGCCCAGCGCAGCTCAAGCTCCAAAACTTTTTGGAATGTGATTTAGTCGTTCACACATTGATGTTTGACGGGAACAAAGGAAGCACAAAACCACGAAATGCCACGAGGCCGAGCGTCACGGACGTGTTGCTTACCCGCATGTGGTAAGTTATGCCGCATTACTTACCCGCTCGTGTGGTAAGTTACGCCGTGTTGCTTACCCACGTGCGGTAAGTTACGGCGTGTTGCTTACCCACGTGCGGTATGCTACGCCGTACTGCTCACCCGTGCGTGCGGAAAGTTATGGCGTGTTGCCTACCCACGTGCGGTATGCTACCCCGTGCTGCTTACCCGCTCGTGTGGTAAGTTACGCCGTGTTGCTTACCCACGTGCGGTATGTTACGCCGTGCTGCTCTTCCGCGCGTGCGGTAAGTTACGTCGTTCGCTTTCAGAAGGCGCGATATGCTCGCAACGTCAAGGCCCGAGGAAGCTTATCAGATGCTTTGTGTAACGTGTCATAGAAATGTCTCCTATTGCTCTTTCAAGGAGCTTAAAGCCATGCTTCTCATAAGCTAATTTACCATGCACACATGCGCCCGCCACGGATCGCAGCACACTTTGTCACATGCAACACAGGGCACGGACGCACCTCTTTCCCTGAAGATGGCCGGCCAGCCATGGTGACTGCTCGGGAGGCTGCGGTGGCGCTGCCTCAGCCGTGCACGTTCTTGGTGACCCGTGCCCCACCTCCGCTGTGGAGACGGTGTACAGTCAGGTCAGGGCTGTCAGCGGCATTCGGCCGCGCTGAGGCGCCGACCGGTTCTGGCGGCCGGCATTGTTTGGTCAACAGCACATCATTTTCAGAGATTGTTTGACGAGCTGGCGTTGTTTCAGGCGAGAGGCTGTGATATCCGCAAGCCCGCTTAATTGTCTGTATTTGTTGGTGATGGTGATTCGTCAGCAAGATAACGTGCGGAGAGAGCCTGGGCATGTCATCGGAGTCTGATGACTGGAACTGCATCTTCTGAAGCTTGGGATACTGGCGCTGAGACTCAGCATGTATTCATTCAGATTGCGCATCCTTTAGTGCCAGGACTTATCAAGTATCGTTCTTTTACTGGAAGTGAGTTCATTTATGCGGGGGGTGGCGTTCCCTTTTCATTTGGTGAGGACCTAGTTCTCTAAAGTTAACAAGAAAGCGTGCCAACTCTGGGGAAGACTCGTTTTTGGGCTATTAAGTGGGCAAGTTCAAACGGCTCGCCCATTTTTGACTGCGCAGCACCCTCAGCTGATTTTGCGAAACTACACCCCCGGGTAATATAACACTGCGTAGAAAGAAGGAGAGCCTGGCTGCCCTTGCAGCCCCGCTTAACATCAATACACACTTGTGACTGTGTACGTGCACGGCATGGGTCTGTACGGGATCACCCGACCCTCCCCTCCGGCCGCGACTGGGGCTAGTGAAGACCACCGGTCAAACGGATTGGACCAGCCCGCCGGGACCGGCACGTTACAACGTCACAATGCTAAGAAACATGTCCAAGCTGCGGTGAATGAAAGCTGCGGTGAAAGCTGCCATATGTCGAAGTGCCCGTGTTCCACCCCAGATGACTGAGCTTGGTTAGACGCCTGTTGGGACCGCCGTCGGCGGCGGTATCACAAGACATGAACACCAAGGTCCGCCCTGACACAGAGGCAGGGCGCCACCAGCCAATGAACATCGAGGCCCGCCCTGACACAGGGGGGTGGGCGCCACCAGCCAATGAACATCGAGGCCCGCCCTGACACAGGGGGCAGGGCGCCACCAGCCAAGAGCGGAGTCTGGCGGCGCGGTCAGAGCAGAGGCGGGGGAGGAGGGGGGGGGGGGGGGTGGGGGGGTGGGGGGCGGGCAACACTCCTCGGCGGAGAGATGGTGAGCGCACACCTCCAAGTGACGGGCCGATTCCAGCCGTGGTGTACTAGCTGAACAGGATTACGGCGCTTCGATGTTCCATTGAATTGTAGGTGGACTTCTGTTTCTCACTGCTAGGCCCATTGAAGTGTTTCGAAAGACAGCTATGGGCAGGTGGAGCACAAGCAAGCGCACGATACTGTTATTAGCAACTTTTCCAAACTAGTTTAATGGAATGCAAATTTCCACGATCTGCCGAGCTTAACTATTCCCTGTTTGGCCGTGACGCGATAGTGGAGGATTCCCTTTGATTTTTACATGCAAGATGTATAGAAAAGAGAAGGTTTTGGGCCAGAGGAAGTCGGAAGGCAATGGCAAGACTTCCGCTGTCTGCACCCACGTCTATCACGTTGTTAAGTAGCGTAACCAGGGGATATCTCAATAGTCCGCACGGTCAAAAAGAGATAACGCATTTCCACGAGCGTTCTTCACTTCTCACCATGCGTCCAACAGTCAACGGAAACCCTCCAACGGAAGTATGCAGCGGTTCTCCAAGTGACATCGCAATACATGTTTTAGCATAGATTGCGGTAAAAATATTTGTTCGTAAGCAAGTTCCTCTCCTACTGCGTCCGCACCGCAAATGTTGTTTCCTCGCTACATGTGACTGAAAACACGCTGGCATTGCTGTGAGGTGAGAAATTTACAGACCTTAAATAAATTGCTTTCTCAACACAGTTGCACTGAGCTTGTCCTCTCCCCCGCATATGTGTTGGAAACGGTTGCTGGGAAACGGCGCCCGGAGGCTAGACCCACCTCTATTAAAAAGGGCTCGTCTGAACGCGGTGCTCGGATAAAAACTGCACGTTAAGGCGAAGAGAACACAGCTTTCCTGTGTCCCTCCGCCTGGGTCGTCGCTGCGGTCTCTGCATAACGGCAGTCAGCTGTTGGCGTCGGGCCGGTTGCCAGGGTTGCCAGTTGCCCTGACGCCGGGCGGCGCGCACACGTCCGCGACAAACATGGCGCCGCGCCCCGGGCAACATTGACTGCCGGGGCCGGCTCACGACGTGGCCGCCAGCTATTCGCGACCATGACCGCGCAGCGCCGTGGCATAGAAACGCGGCTGTGTCGCGACCAGCTGGGTCCTCCCGGATTGTAGATGTAGTGTAGCAGTGACGTGTCTTTTGGTCCTGGAGCTTGCTGATGACGCGTGCTAAGCGCATGCTACGCAGCGAAAAAAAAAGAACTGGGGTTGTCGCAATTCCAGTCCGGACTTTCGTAGGCCCGGGTTCAATTCCATGCCGTGCTGAGGAGCCGGATGGCGCGCTAGAAGCATACTGACACGGCCCTCGTGCCGATGTGTTTCTGCGTACAGCAGGAACCAGCGCGAGCACGAAACGCTCGAGGGCTTCTTGATATTAGCCTCGAGACCTTCGTCTCGGAGCTCAGTTGGTTGCAAGGCTCGCAGTTTCGCCTTTGACAGGTATGGCCTGCGGCCAGTAGCAGAGACCGCGCCCAAAGCAATCAGTTGACGTCAGAGGGAAATCAGCTGACGCCAGAGGGAGCGACGGGTCGCGCCGAGCATTGCGGCACGTTAAACTTTTGCTTTAAACTTTAAACAAAACAAAACTTTAAACCAAATGCTGTCGTTGACATAAAATTGCGTGATCACATGGTAGAGCTCAGGGCTCACATAATAATCACTGCCTAGCTTGAGCTCTAACTCCCCCAAAAAGCATCCATTTAAAAGATTCAGGTTTAATCTTTACAAACAGCGTCCGTCAGATTTTTAGAAATGTCGGCTAGCCCGAGCCATCCTCTAACTTGCAAGTGGACAAGGTACCAACACATTTCCCCGTTACGTAGACGGATTTTCCTGCGAAGTCGGCGCGGGCACCGTATTGCTGTGGTGCATTTATCGCTTTCCGACGTCTGACGGCACTTGCGGGTGACTGGTGTCAGCTTTACCGTTCACCCTCATCGGTGTCAGCGGCGTGAGCAGTACATCTTGAATATGCCCTTGGTGTCAGTGTTCCAAGCATTCTGCACTTTTCAAGCTAAAAGAATGTTTGGCACTCGCGAAACGTAGGGCACTGAGAACAGCGTTTCAGTGATTTCGAGGCCCATGTGAGCAGCGATCTTTCTATTCTTAAACGACAAATTCAAGTCTTTGGATGACATGGATTTCTGGTGTCAAGGCTCGCGGTAAGCGGTGCGGTGCAATTCAGCGATAACGCCAGAATTTTGTAGCAAAAATCAAGATGTCGGAATGTTCGGCATGATCTGTTCTGCCCTCTGACGTAATAGCGAGCGTCTGAACCGACTCGAACCCACTCCCGCCACGGACGGATGGATCGGAAGACAGGTGATCTCACCAGCTGAGATCTCACATCGGACGTGATCACCCTTTTTCCAGAATCGATTAGCAAAAATGATCAGCAAATCTTGCGCATGTGCGCTCGCAATCTTGCAGTCTCCGTAGCCCGCGCATCATTGGTCGTCGCAGCTAACACCAGGCGGCGCCGTACGGGGGCGGTGAAAACGACCCCTTACCGGAAAGTGGTGTCTCTGAATGAAATCTGCATGAAATCCATTCGTGCGAGTTAAGATTTGTCCAGGCCCTGGATCTCATTTGAGCGGCGTCAAGGTTGATTCTCGAAACGGATTTCCACTCGCAGCACCACAAGGACTTTGCGCAAAAGTAGAACTGCTAATCCGTTCAGAGGATCAACCTTAGCCCTTACAGGTTAAATGTATGCTTCAGTCTAACACTTGCGTGGTATGAAACGATCTCTAATATGTGCCATTCGGACAGTTTATCTCTGCAAAGTCATCTCGCAGCCACCAGCCTATTCACTCCAACGCCACTGCTTTACTGATACCACCATGAAGTAAGCATTGCACTCATTCGGTAAGTTATGAATGGCCGCGTCGGGTTACTACATGCATCCTTTCCTTCCGTTTTAGTGCAATAGGCAGCAATAACCTATGCAATCGCTTATATTTAAAGTACTGAGTTTTGGTCTAGCAAATTTTAAGCCAAGTAGGCTAAGTGGGTTATACGCTTGAATTTATTTTGAAACCACGTCATCAGGTAGTCAAACACGGACTGGCTTGGACACAATGACGAAAGCGGCTGGTAGTAACCAGTCTGACGATATAAATCAGCTTATATTACCGAAGAATAGCTGTAGCGTGCATCACCGGCACAATAGTGATGTCAACATAAAGAATGATGAGAATTTCTGAACGCCTGCATCCACTTATTTCATCGTGGTTGCTCAAAATAAATACGTATAATACCAAGTTCATCTCATTTAGTGTATTATAAGCTGTTGATCAGTCCTTGAACGTATGTTTACAGAGTGGCGCGGAGAAAATGGGAGTTGTTGACAACAGATACTCATAATTTCCGATTGGTAAGTACTTTTGCATGTACTTCAGTTGAGGCCTAGCTGAAATCAGACAGTCCTGCGTCAGCGATTTGCTCAGAAAGAGGAAGCTTGATCAGTTATGCGTAGCTTAAAGTTTAAAACGATTAAATTAGAGTGAAGTGTCGATACACCTCGCAGTTTCTTGATATAACTCGACATCCTGCCATAAATAATGTTCTTCTTCAACATTTTTTGGCTCTTGGTAGGTGTGTTCAAAGGCCAACTTGGTTATCAATAACGAGATCTTCACGTTATCATTTCGGGTATGTCCAGATGTTTTCTTAATAGGAGTATATTTTCAAAATGAACTTCACAAAAAAGAGGCTCTCACAGATTTCAGCATGGCTTAATGTTTCACTAAGAACGTCCAGATGAAAGTTTCTAACCAAACGCTGTAAAACCGTTCTCGCTGCCCATGTTAATGTAGGTGGCTGTACATTCACAACGCTAGATCCTGTGGTGGCTGCGCATCCATGACGTTACAGCCTATAACAGCAGTCGTAACACCGTCGATGGTGCTGCTGAGAGACGCACAGTGAACACCAGTAAACACCCATGGTACCAGTGAACATCCATCGATGATACACAATGATGACTAGGGACATTGAGGATGGTGGGCGCCGCTTCCTATAAGCTTTTTTGCTATATAGCCGCCGGCGTCGCCGATTTCACCAGCAGACGTTGCAATGTCACCGACTTCACCAGCAGACGTTGCAATTTCACCGACTTCACCAGCAGACGCTGCAATGGCTGTTGCCGCTCGATACTTTAACATCACCCATTTCGCACGAATAGACCAACGTAGCCGGATGAAATGTTGCCCGCCAGCGAACAACGCTTTTATGAAACGCTTGGTCAAGAAACAGGATCCAAACATCCGTCGTGAAACTTCGGACCAGCTCAAACACTTATGAGCTCTGCGCGTCATTGGCAGAATGTTAACATTTCAGTATGTGTGTGTGTGTGTGTGTGTGGTGGTGGGGGGGGGGGGGGGTTATGGTACTTGACGCACATCATCACACCGCTTTTATGAAGCGCCAGCAACTACACTGGCCCTATTAACGCCCATGGGCCATGGAGCAAACGGGATTCGAACCCGGGCCCCAACATTGGAGTCCATGACGCTAACCATTCGGCCATTACATCCATTTTCGGCATTTTTTAGAACACACTTAACACTGAGATAAAAGCAAGTTTATTGACAGCCTTTGAGTACCTGTTATATATAAACCACAAGAAGCATCAGGCACAAGCAAGCAAAGCGCAAGCAAGACACCCTACGCATTACAACATAGTGCGTAAATATGAATAAAATTGAAAAAGAAAATAAAAAACTGCACTCAGTGGTATCGTTGTAGCCTTTTGTATCAAAAATAATGCACCAGACCTAACTTTTCATTTGTCAATTGCATTTGTTGCAAGATATGTCAGCGCAGCCTTAGATCAACTTGATCCAATCAAAAACATAATGACCTATGGCGGCGCGGCATGACCCACCTGATGACCTGTGGTGGTGCGGTGTGACCCACCTGCTGACCTGTGGCGGTGCCGTGTGACCCACCTGATGACCTGCGGCGGTGTCGTGCGACCCGCCTGATGACCTGCGGCGTTGTGACGCGACCCACCTGATGACCTGCGGCGGAGCCGTGTGACCCACCTGCGGGCCGGTGGCTGATGGCGGCGCAGCCGAGGAGCGGGGCCGCCCTGTGCTGAGGTCTCGGTCCCACCACTGACGCCGCCGCCCGGCCCGGCGCCCCCCGGCCACCGTTGGCACCAACACGCCGCACTGTCCCGGGAAACCGACATACATAGAAACGCCGCCGGCGGCCGGCCGCCGTCCCGGTCCGTGGACCGCACCCGCGGGTCGGGCCGGACGCACGCCTGACCCAGGGTCAGGTTTGCCGTAGGTCAGACGGCCGCCGACCCGGTCCGTGAGCCGCGCCCACGGGTCGGGCTGGACCCACGCCTGACCCAGGGTCAGGTTTGCCGTAGGTCAGACGGCCGCCGACCCGGTCCGTGAGCCGCGCCCACGGGTCGGACCGGAGCCACGCCTGACCCAGGGTCAGGTCCGCCGTGGGTCAGATGGCCGCTGTCCCAGCCCGTGGGCTGCACCCCACCGGTCGGGCCTGGCCCGGGTCAGGGTCGGGCCGCCGCGGGTCAGGCGGTCACCAAAGTCCATGGTGCGTGACTACTATTGCTGGCAATAGGAGAGTCCTTTGCAAATTGATTACGCTTTGCAGTTGTCAATGAAATCCTTCCAAATACAAGACGTATGCTCTGGGTATCGCGTCAAAGAGAAAACCGTGGCATGTGCCCAAGGTCACACCGTATGACATGTGAGGTTGCGGTATGTACCATGTGCCACCAACGTAAAACGATGAAACCCCGCTGCCCGTGTAAGAAATCTCTCCGGACAGGCGAGACAGGCAGGCAGGCAGACGGCTGTACGGCTTTGCGGTGAGACGCAGTACGCACCACCTGCTGGCCTCGGTTCTCAACAGGCAGGCAGGTGGATGGATGTCAGAGCTATGCGGTGAGACACAGTACGCACCACCTGCTGGCCTCGGTTCTCAACAGGCAGGCAGGCGGATGGATGTAGAGCTCTGCGGTGAGACGCAGTACGCACCACCTGCTGGCCTCGGTTCTCAACAGCGTCGGAGCAGAGTCAGGGCCGAATCCGAGCGTTGATGAGCGCCGCTGAGGTGAAGTTCAGGATTGGCCTGAAGTTGAGGCACGAGACTTTGAGGATCTCGATATTGTGAGATGCGTGGAGAAGGTTAGCACGGCCCCGGGAGCGCAGAATGGAACAATGGACTCAGGGCAGAGATGCCCCTATCCCCCCCCCCCTCCCTCCCCAGGCCCCCCACTCTCCGATTCACTGTCGTTTACTCGGGACACATCGTCTAGCTCCCCGTCTTGTTTTTCTTATAAGCACGCCTTTAAATATCTGGTCAAAGCAGCTGTAGCTCAATCAGCCTAGGACAGAATGGTCATGTCAGGCAGAACCAACGTACAGGTCCGTTGCCAATAACGGCTGAATGTGTCCATATCAAGGGCCTCACAACCACTCAGTCAAGCGTTGCTAGGCAACGCACCAAAATGTGCGTGTTCCTGCACACTTGCAGCGCAGCTGCCGGCAACACTAGTTAAAAGAAGTAAAATTGGGTCATTGTAAGAGATTACGTGCAACACCGGCCGAACCAACTGATGCACTGATACCTTCAATCGCATTAATATTTGACGTTGCACATATGCTGGCGTCAAGAGAGTGCCAAAACAAGTCGATGCGCAATATCATTTCAGCGCTATGTCAATGTTGGAGAATGCAGGGACCGGCGCAGCTAAGAGCGCTGGAAACGAGCCTGAAGTTGTCTTTCTTGTGATAAGAAGTGTATTGATGTAGAATTCAGGCGTGAAGCCATGTGAGACGACAGATATTTTGGCACAGGGAGCTAAACGCGTGATGGTTTTTACCCGGGACCTATGGACCGTGCTCATACTAATGCAATAGCATTAGCCTGCTTCCTCGGAGAAAACCCAGAAGAATGGAAATACAGTTGGGTTGATATTTCGGCAACATGCCTTTATCGGAACAATGGCAGAATGATATCGCCTCTGTGATTGTTTCAATGAAGGCGTGTTGTCGAAATATCAACCCATTTATATCTCCATTCTTCTGGTTTTTCTCCGAGGAATAAGGCCAATACAACTGTCTTATCGATGTGAATAATGTCCCTCGCTAATGCACTAAATAACTCATAATAATGCAGTGAAGATTGCCGTGGCTGCCCACGCGGCTGACGTCACAGACGTATGGAACATTCTGACATTTCTTCTGCTGTCCTCCGTCCCCAGTGCACAGTGGACGGCGGCGCTGGCTTGGACGGATGGATGTGATCAGGTGATGTGACGGCTGCATGTGATCAGGTGATGTGACGGCTGCATGTGATCAGGTGATGTGACGGCTGGATGTGATCAGGTGATGTGACGGCTGGATGTGATCGGGCGATGTGACGGCTGGATGTGATCAGGTGATGTGACGGCTGATGTGATCAGGTGATGTGACGGCTGGATGTGATCGGGTGATGTGACGGCTGGATGTGATCAGGTGATGTGACGGCTGGATGTGAGGCGATGTGACGGCTGCATGTGATCAGGTGATGTGACGGACTGCATGTGATCAGGTGATGTGACGATGACAGTTCGGCATCGTGAATGAGAGGTGATTGCTTTAAATACCGTATAAGCAGCTTTCTTCACCCCAAGATAGAGGCGTTGAAGGCATGCATACCCTTATGCTTCACAAGAGCTTTTGTGATAATGACCACATTAAGTTTGCAAAAGTACGTTGCTGATATTCTGGCTGACATGTTTTCAAATAGCAATTTTCATTTCTTTTGCTAGTGGTCTGCAGTGGTACATACTGGTCGATAGGGAGAACATAATGCTGAAACTCTGGTCGTCCATATAGCTCGGTTGGTTGTCCAGTTGAGTCAGTTGGTTGGACAGCACAAGCCCTGGCCAATGGGAACTTTCGGTCGACGCGCTTTGGAGACGTCCTCGCCGCCAATAATCGATCTCTGGTTGGACGAATGTCTTCCTACGTCATCCTGCCTACTGCGTACGTCACCGGTCGGTGACGCTGGTAGCCTGCTGCGGCGGTCATAATCCTGTTGGTCATAATAAGCCTGCTGGTCAGGCAACAGCCGCGGCCACCGAGGCGACATAGCCATCGGAAATGTCGCCGGTGTGAAGTGGTCTTGCCGCTCGCGTCCGAGAAAGCAGTGCGGACATAGTCTGTCTCTCACGTCTAGTTACCAGGTGACGACCAGCAGCCAGCACCGTGCAGCGACGGCCGTACTGTGACATCGCATGGTGTATCAGGGTCTTGCAGCAGAACTTGTCCGTGGAACTGACATTGTGCCACTGCGCTGGTGAGACCATGGCCTTTGCGGCAAGCTTGCTTAGCGAGAACCCTGACGCCAGAGCGAGCCAAAATACTCCGCAAACGTTCTGCAAGGTAAATCAAAACTAGAAGAGTTGCCGTTTGTTATTGTTTTGGGGATGCCAACAGCTGAGGTCAGCGTGTGATCTTCGAAAGTCTTGCTTCAAAGTTGCTGTATCGTTGAGACATCTTTTTAGGCCATCCGTGTAATATTGCTGTACAAATATGCAGTCTTTTTTTCAAAAACTTTAAGATTGTCTGAAAATAGGTCTGACGTCATGAAGTGCATAAGTCACGTGAATAAGAACCTGCAACGCGGTCCGAAACCTGGTTCAAAAACTGCATCTTATTTGACATTACAAGGAGAATTCCCGAAGCTACAATTCTAGATGGCGTTTATTACACAATTGTTCACGTAACAAATGCGTAATGGTGTGCGAAAATCACTAAAACCTCATCAACCTGGTTGAATATGGACAGAGAACAGATCGACCCCAAAAATTAGAGGATTCTGAAATTTCCAGAGTTGTGGGCCAGTGTTTTAACGATTGTGGTAGTATCATGATGGATTTATGTATAAGTCATAGGGGAAGGTAGCGCAACCTTTCTTAAGAGGCACAAAGCCCGGCCCGAAAATCGGAGGACGACGTTTCTTTTAACTGTCTTTTTCCTCGTTGTGTGAAGACCAAAAATTGTCGGCGCGCATTTGCCACACGGCGTCGAGAACTAACCTAAAACAAGATAGATGTTACATCCCTTCGCTAGTCCGGCAGAGCCAAACTTCAAATTCACTCCCATCGTCCACTGTCGGTGAGTGGCCTGGCGCAGTGCGACAGATCAAACGTTGAACTGGGTAAGAGTCGCCATGTTAACATTGTACAGCTCTTTTATGGATCATAAAGCAGCCCCTAGGTGAGCTTTACTGCGAGGCGGACGGGGTTCGGTTTCAGCTGTGCGACTAAATTAGTTCAGTTTTACGACATAACCTGCAACCTATCAAGGCAGGACCTGAGATTATCAGCATTGTCGACACAATATGTCCTGTAACACGTTTGTAGTTTGACCAGAGCCTGGTGCTTCGCTTCTGGTCTTGGTAATGGCATTCAACAAGTTTTAAGCGCGCTGCCAGGCCCTTTTTTGTGCCATGGGGTAGCCTCATTCTGTTTATGCGTGCATGCCCTCATGCGTTTTTATCCCTTGTTACTTTCCGTTGTTTTTTTGACATACCGTTTATCTATCCCGCTAATGACACGTACTATCCACGTGTGGATGTGGACGGTCAGTTGATGCCATATATATAACATAATATAATGTAACGTGTTATATGATGTAATTTTAACATGATATATGATATGATAATCTTGAGATCAAGCATTAAAACCCTGTAAAAAGCATTGCAACTATCGGTGCCTGATGAGTGGAAGTTTTCTTGGTGACACTCGCCCAGTCTCTTATGCCGCATAAATTCAGGGTTCCGAGAGCATAGTTTGGACAGCTCCGAGAACGTGTGCCCCAATATGTTACACACTCCGACAGTGTTGGTCGCCGTTGTGCCACCCACACTTAGTACAGGTACGAGCATCGATGAACATTTGCTAGACATGAGCCTGATGCGGTTCCAAACTAGCGTCAGTGGTGTAAAACGGTAAATGTCAGCAGCATACGCCGACCGTGAAGCCCGCTTTGCATCATGGACACGCGCCGCGCCCGCGCCATCGTATGCTTGAACGTCACAGGGTTAGCCTGTGTGGAGCAGCGATTTAAACGTCTTAATGCTCGTTT